AAGGGTGCGCCATTGGTAGGTATTGGGATTATGGGTGTGATAACTTATATGTACTACATATGTATGAAAGTGTAGATACCTATTTGACTTCATATGTATAGATGTGTTCGATAACAAAGTTAGCCAACACCAACCAACAATCAAAATCAAGAGCGTAAGCGAAAATTCTCTCCCAAAGAGAAGAAACAGCAAAACAGTAAACGAACAGAAAATTTGTCAACAATGAAAAATAACGGTAGGAGAGTACACAAATAGCCAGACGGTTCCTTACTGCAGATTTTAGTCAGAAATAGTCAGTTCTTCCCGTACACGTATCTATAACATCTTCAGTGCTCTCATCCGCATTAAGTCTATCGATACAAAGATTTGCGGCCCGAAATGGGAATACAGCAAACTTAAAACCGTAAAAAAAACAAATGTGGACTAAAATGGAGAATAAGCGAGGAGCTTTGTGAAAAAGGTCATATGTTTGCCGCCGCCCAAGTAGAGGGGAAATTTTTTAGTTTAGAGCGCCAATACAAGAAGACGCAGCTCAATAACTCTTTGACTGGTCGCAATACGCTTAACTGTCCCTACTATAGGTAAGTTCTTTTTATCGCCATAATGTTAGTTATATTTATTTAAACATGCAATATGTATATATATTTGCAGTGAACTGAATGATTTATTAAGAGCTAAGAAGGGTATTCACCCGGAATTTGTACTGGATAGCGAGACGGTGGTCAAACCTGCTGAGGCTTTACAGGATTTGGACGATTATATGGAGTCCCCACTTTCGTCCCAAAGCGGCAACGGTATTACGAAGATATACAGGCATGTTCTGAAATTTGAAACTTTGAAATCGAGTCGATTTGCCAAAAATTTGTTAATTATATCTGATGAAAGGAGTGAATATTCTCACTTAAAACTGTAAAAGAAGCAGCAGCGATATGAAAAAAATCATTTTAATGCGAGACTTGTAATTTTCTAGGTTAAAAACCATCGAAGAAATTATCGAAATCGAGTCGATTTCAAACTTTCGAATTTCGGAACATGCCTGATAATTATGTATTAATGGGCCGTGTGAATAAAAAAAGCAATTACTTTTTCTGAAAATTTCAAACCCTTTCGAATTTATGTAACTTGTTCAAAGAAGTTTAAGTAAAAGATCTGAAATTTTGATAAAAAGCAGATGTTTAGTTTTTATTCATACGACCCAGTACAATAATTCTTAACTCAACATTTTTTTTAGTTTAACAGAAAATCTTGACTATACATTGTCGAGACCAAAAAGAAGAAAGACTGCTTTGGAAAAATTTATAGAAAGCTCGGGTGCGTATGAGAAAAGGAAGCAGGAGAGCGACTTACGTCTGCAAGAGATGTTAGAGAAATCTTTTAAAAGGACGGAAGAGCGAGCCGAAAGGAAGGTGCAGCTGGAGAAAAGGAAGCTGGATATATTAGAAAATCTGGTTAATTTCTTAAAGAAATAGAAGCATATCGAGCGCATATTTTAAACTCTTTTTTAACAAAAAGTGCCTTTTTCAAATTAGTTTTTATACTGTCAAGTTTACTATTATATGTTGAGCCATTACAAAACTAGCCCAGCGAATTTAGTTGCATTGTGGTAATTTTTTTTTTAAGTTTTTTTGCAAATTTAAAAGATTCAACGAAAAAGCACAAACATCCAAATTCCGAAATGTGCAAATAAGAAAATATCAAAAGTTTGATATATCAAAAGTTTGTAGTTGCCAAAGAATCTTGTGGATTTTTGATATACTTTTTTACTGACGGTATCACGCATTTAATACCATATGTATAAAACATTTTTGAACGTACTTTGTATATTATCAAAAATCCAAAAGATTATTTGGCAACTTTAAACTTACACTTTGTTATAGTAAAATATATTGGCCTATAAGACTGCATACCGTACAATTTTTCCCAAAATTATGAACAAAAACTTTACACCTTGCTGAAAATTGTACAATGTATGAAATTTCGATTTATATGGTTTTCGTTATATAAACAATGCACATTTAAAAACAATCAACATTAAACTGGCCAATATGGTGTATGTACAAAGAAAAATTAATAAATTGAATTACAAGTTTTGTTAATTGTTGGTAAAATTATACCGTCTTATTATATCTTCACAAAATGAATTTCTTACAGTGTTTCCGCACGAAACGCTCATAAGAGGAATCTTCATTAGTTTCAGGTATGACCTCAGAACTAAAATCAATTTCCTCTTCATTCAAAATATTGTGGAGAACGCAGCAAGCTCTAATAAAGTGGCAAATTTTCTTCATGCCTCGCTGTTTGCAGTAGCACAACTGCCTAAATATCTGCTTCAATAATCCGAATGTATGCTCTATAACCACACGACCCAAACTCAGCTTTTTGTTAAAGAATATTTGATGTTTCTGTACGGAGTTATTAAGTACCTGTTATATGGGTATGCGGAGTCGCCTAATAAATAGTACTCTGCAAAATTAACTTCTTAAATATAAAATGTATTACCATTAGAACAGTCAAGTATGTTACCTTCGACATATAATGGTAATTTTTGATATATTGGAGAGTTTTTAAGTACCCAACTATCATGGCAAGAGTCTGGGAATCTGACAAATATATTCATGGACCTCTTCTTTTCGTTGCATATACCTTGCAAGCATATTGATGTTGTTCCTTTTCGATCGATGTATTCATCTTTTCCTCTAGGTGGTGGATCGATCTCAGCATGCTTTCCGTCGATGCATCCTAAATACAGTAAATAAAGTATGTAATCAATCCGTTATGAATGGTTAGCTACATATACCTATTACTTTGCTGAAGAAGCATTTACTCTGAAAGAATTCGCTTGATTCTTGTTTTTCAGAACCAGTGGGCCATTTTATAATTTGTGGGCTCATAGAACTCAGTAACATCGGGACTATTTATAATTAAGCAAATTGTTGACAAGGACAAGTCGAAACGATCGGCTAGATCTCGATAACTGCATGATTCATGGCCAGCGAACCACAACAATACCAGAAAATAAAATTTGTCTGAGTTTATTTTGTTTGGACGTAGCATTAGATAATATTCGCTTTGAAATAAACGTTCACTTAAGCTTGCGAAAAGGCCCCTAGAAATTCTAAAGGGACTGCGAAATTCACTTTCAAAATATGATGGAACAATTCGTTCAAAGTAATGCTTAACACAATTTCGCTTGTTTTTGGCAATCAATAGCACAGCATTTTTGAAATACAGTATATTTTGCTTTGCTGCCTCTATGCTTAAGTGCACATTTAAGATACAGTATATTTTGCTTTGCTGCCTCTATGCTTAAGTGCACATTTAAGATACCTACCCCAAAATGCGCATCAGAGGCATTACTTTTAACATTTATAAGGAAACTGCTCCGATAGATGTATTTAGCATACCCGCACATTGGCGATACCTGCCTTAAAAATTGTGCGACTAGTATCAATTATCAAAGAAAGTATTACGTTTACCTTCACTGGCCCTACAATTACCTAATTTTACAACTTTTTATTTATTTTGTTCATCTCGCAGAACAACGAAAATGGCTATAAATTTATGTAGTTATATAGATAATTAGATACTATTCGGTAAAAATTTCGCTTGCAGTAATTTCTACGTGGTAAGTGCTTCTCCATTATTTGGTTTCATAGGGATTTGGATACCTTCCTCATTGAAGTAGTAAAGAAAATTCGCTTAAGTGCTTTCTTCGGTTAAGTGCACAAGTTTTTCGTGCAAAGAAGGATGTGCAGCTAAGCAAAATATACTCTATATATTATCACGACGTCGTAATCGCTCACATATAACAGTATCTTGTTTGTCGTCACTTTCTGAGGAAGAAGAATCCATTAATGTCGTGACTGCATTTAAAACAATACTCTGGACACCTACGCCAATGCTAGTTCTACGAACAAAAGTGTTGTTAATAAAATATGTATGCATACTAAATCTTAAACACAATAAACCTCCCAAATGTGGAAATTGAGGCTGCAATTCGTAGCCGCCTTGGAAGTTAGGCTCCCGTTCAGGTACAACCTGCGAAATAGTAGGTACCTTGTATTGAACTATCATTAATATACTTTATATAATCACGTTTTTTGCTGTTATATTTTCCATCTCAACGATTCTGACTATAAATTTAAAATTTGTTAAGATCAGATTTCACAAAAAATAAATTTCTTTGTTTGTTTAATTGCAATCATATGTTTTCGTGATGAAAATGAAACGCTTGCTCTCTCAATTTTTGAATGCTGGATAATTTTTTGTCGTTATCGAACGCCAACTTGTAAAAATTTGGAAAAACTATTACAAATTTTTGGAATTGTCGAACGCAACTTATATCCAGAAGTTGAGAGTGCATTTACGTGTGTAGCTAAGTGCGGTTGTGTGTACATATGTATGTAGATCAGCGGCAGCGGTTATTATTTTTTGCGGACAGCTGCTAAAGCTCACTTCAGTGGTGGCTCAGTTAGTCGTACACTTGGAGCAATATGTGCTATAACATCCTCCTCCCTTGAAGGCAGTGCTTTCAAAACTGCGAATTAGAATAAACTAGCAGACCCGGTGAACTTCTTCCCGCCCAAAATTATTTTTTTATTGAAACATTTCGTCCAAAGTTTTTCACCAACAATTCGCTTTCACGTTTGGTTGGGTGGTCGTCAGAAGGCATACCCTCCACAGCTATTTTATGTAACCTAACGAAAGCGTTATGTCCGTGAAGAAGTTCTTGCGATAACATTGATCCGGTTAGTTGGTGGCAATTTCAAAATGGGGGAGTATCATTGGTCCATAGAAATCCAATATACATAGACTTATTTCAGACTAGATACCTTAAATATCTTAAAACTGTATTTGTAGGCATTCATCAAGAATTGTTTTTATTCTGTTTAGTGGTTGATTCAACAGTGGTAGTTTGACTGTGACATGGTGTCTCCGAATTACTTCACTTGACGATTTTTAGAAATAACTCCAGCGCCACCTTGCGGCTTTTTTT